TGGGCGCTGGCAGAGCCAATCAGGATGGATTTAAACTCTGGCTGTGTTTTCTTGCAGTGGGTGCTGCTGAGGGGGGCGTCAGCCCGCGGGCAGTGTGGCAGCTCCGCAACATGATCAAGTGTACGATCCCCGAGAGTGACCCCGTGAGGGATTACACCGACTACGGCTGCTACTGTGGCCTGGGTGGATCCGGCACGCCTGTGGATGAACTGGACAAGTGAGTGATTGATCGGCAGGGAGAGGGGAGTGCCCGTGCGGTGGGGGGAGGGCACAAGCCAAGGATCTCACGAGGAGGCACAGAAAATGGATTTGCATATTTGCTAAGGGTAACATATTTTCAACTCTTGTATAAACAAAAATGCTCCAAGAGGCCCCTGAATCCAGTGCTCTCGGTTAGGAGCAAAGGCGGAAGGTTGATGTCAAGCAATAGTGGATGCTGCTGCCCTCTAGTGGCAGAATATTGCATCACAAAACACCACAGCGTCGATTGGATTGTCCTCTTCCAGCAGTGGTTAAGACTCTCACTGCATCTTCAGAACACATACGTGATTGTACGATATTCCTGCAACCCATTTTTAAATAGCCTTCAATAAACACGATAAAAGGACTTACATTTTTCAAGCCACAGGATAAATATCTTCCGGAGCATGTCAGCTAAATCATTCCCCTTAATGAGCCTGCCCTGCTGCCCTGCCCCTGCCTGAGCTCTGTCCTTCGCCCACTCTTTAGGTGTTGCCAGACACACGACCACTGCTACTCACAAGCCAAGAAACTGGACAGCTGTAAATTCCTCCTGGACAACCCCTACACCAAAACCTACTCATACTCATGCTCTGGCTCTGAGATCACCTGCAGCGGTAGGTTAACTCCTTTGTGGAAGAAATAATAGTAATGATATCCACCATTTATTGATCACCTTGGTGCCAAGCTGTGTCTCCTTTAATCCTGGCAACAATCCTATGAGATAGGTATTATTATTATACTTGTTTGACAGATGAGGAAACTGGGACACCCACTGTTTGGGGCTTTTTTTTTTTTAGCAGTTTCAGAACTTTTGAAATTTTTTTATTAATGTTTATTTTTGAGAGAGACAGAGTGCGAGCAGAGGAGGGGCAGAGAGGGAGGTAGACATAGAATCCTAAGCAGGCTCCAGACTCTGAGCTGTCAGCACAGAGCCTGTTGCAGGCTCGGACTCATGAACCATGAGATCATGACCTGAGCAGAAGTCGAAGTCAGACACTTAACCGACTGAGCCACCCAGGCGCCCCATTTGGGTTTTTCTGGGGGTTTTTGTTTTTGTTTTTGAGAGACAGAGGGAGAGATAGAATGCGGGAGAGGGGCAGAGAGAGAGGGAGAGAGAGAATCCCAAGTAGGTTCTGCACTGCCGGCACAGAGTCCTACAAGGAGCCTATAGGGGCTCCATGTCACAGATTGTAAATTCATGACCTGAGCCAAAATGAAGAGTCAGATGCTTAACCAACTGAGCCACCCAGACACCCTGGGGTGTCTGGTTTTGAACAGGTTTATATGGCTCCAAGGTCTCTGTTCTTAACTGCCATGCTATATAGCTTCGTTATTTCATGAAAGGAGCTTGGAACTACCATTTATTAGTTTCTTATTACATACCAGGGAGTACGCTGAGCATATATGTTTTATTAATCCCATTTTACAGGTGAGGAAGCTGAGGCTCAAAAATAGCTACTTGCCCAAAATCACAGAGCTTGTAAGTGGTAGGGTCAGCATTGGAACTCAGTTGTTTCTGATTTCAAAGGTTCTGGTCTTAACCACTAAGTTATGCACAGCTCATGGTGAAATGTGTCCCTTTATGAAGGTGGTTCTGAAGGGCAGACAGTTCAGAGGTGAATAGTATTGTCATGCTAGGCTAGCATTCTGGATTTTCACTACTCTTTTCTATGCACTCACAGACAGGTCCCACTTTCCAAAACTGTACGTACATCATTGGAATAACTGTAACTCAAATCCAGAGGGCCAAGAAAAAAGTTACCAGGAATCCCACCATCTTTTTTAAAGCACTGTTAAAGTTTATTTATTTGTTTGTTTATTTATTTATTTGGGGGGGGGTGTGGATCCCAAGCATGCTGTCAGCACAGAGCCTGATCTGATGCAGCAACTTGAGATCATGACCTGAGCTGAAATCAAGCATCAGATGCTTAACCGATGGAGTCACTCAAGCGCTCCAGGAATCCCACCATCTTAAGGAATAAACGATTTCATAGCTCTGTGTTCATTTGTGCTTATCCTTGGAATAACATTTTTATCGTTTTAATTGTAGCTAGGCACATGCCCACCTCAAGTCCTTTGTTCCTTCTGCATGAAACACTTCCCATGTGAAGTCTCATTCCAGGACTTCAAATGTCGCTTTCTCTGTGCAGCCTTCCCTTTTATTTTTTAATTTACTTATTTTTTTTTTTTTAGAGAGAGAATGCAAATAGGAGAGAGGGGCAGAGGGAGAGAGAAAGAATCTTAAGCAGGCTCCATGCTCAGTGCAGAGCCCAAAGTGGGGCTCAGTCCCATGACCCTGGGATCATGACCTCTGCCCCTCTCTCCCACCCACTCACTCTCTCTCTCTTAAAAAAAAAGGATCAGAGAGAAACAAAACTTTAATAAGATTATTGAACGTAAGCAGAAGTACATAATTAAATTATAGATAACAAATTTGAAATGCATTTTAAAAGTTATCATTGTTGTTTCTTTTGGCTATAAAAATAAACAAGGCCAAAGTAGTGTAATTTCAAACTCTACAGAAATATATCATGGAAAGTGGAAGGTGCCTATAATCCTGCTACCCAAGATAACTAGTTAGATGCATTGCCCTTCATTTTCCTTTAATAAAATATCTTGGAAACATTTCCACAGATAGGTGTACTTAATTGTTTTAAATATCTGTAAAATATTCTACTGTAAGAATGTTCTGCAATTTTTATTTTTATTTTAAAAATTTTTTACATTCATTTATTTTTGAGAGGCAGAGTATAAGTGGGGAGGGGTAGAGAGAGAAGGAGACAAAATCCAAAGCAGGCTCCAGGCTCTGAGCTGTCAGCACAGAGCCTGACTCGGGGCTCAAACTCACAAACCGTGAGATCATGACCTGAGCTGAAGTCGGACGCTTAACCAACTGAGCCACCCAGGTGCCCCTCTTCTGTAATTTTTAAAATGTGTTTTAAAGTAGAGAAATTTGCTTGCTAAACTTCACTAAGTTTATATGCACAATACTTTGCTGCTTCGAGTATATGTTTTAGTGTTTTCCATATTGTTTATAAATTGCTTGCCTATGTTATCAAAGATCTATAGCTCTGTGGGTTATAAGAGCTCATTTAGGGATGTGAAACAGATAGGACTTTCCTAACAGCATCGATCACACCTAGGATTGCCAGAGTAAACACATGTTGTCCAATTAAATTTGACTTCCAGATAGACAATGAACATTTTTTATTCTACATTCCAAACATTGCAATTTTTTTTTGTTTTTCTGAAATTCTGGTATTTTTATTTGCTTAATCTATCAAACCCAAATTTGTATGAATGTAATGGCCATTATTTATTCCAGTTAATTCTTCCTTCCCTCCAGACTGGACAAAGCAGGATCTACCTTGGCTCAGTCCTCTCCTCTTGCTCTTTTCCAGATGAAAACAAACCCTGTGAGGCTTTCATCTGCAACTGCGACCGCAATGCTGCCATCTGCTTTTCAAAGGCCCCATATAACAAGGAGCACAAGAACCTGGACACCAAGAAGTACTGTAAGAATTGAGTGTCACCTCTGGAGAGCATCATCTCCACCCACCTCATGCCCTTCACTTTACCTTGTGTCCTCCAATAAAGCACTTTGTTGAAAAGCCTCACGTTTGCATATTGTTTTATCCTCTGTCTATGCAACATGACTAAGTGTCTTCCTAGTTCTTTGTAAGCATCATTAGTTTTAGCCTTGGATGTTGAATGACAGGGATATTTCTAGGAAGTGAACACCGTTAAGACCTGAATAATGATTAGCCACTGATTATTGCCAGATCAAAATATATAATCTATCCTCGTAGGTAAAAACCTACCTCTTTTTCATTACCCCAAGGGCTGAGGGAGAGAGAAAACAAATTCCTTTAGTAATCTTTTCATGAGCATCTGATGGGTACTCATTAAAGGAAATGTAATACGGGAAACACTAGTACAAATGAATACATAAGGGGCACCTGGGTGGC